CGGAGACCAAAACCAGCAAGTGACCATACCACAACGACCAGGACGACGAGACGAACCGATCGCCGTCGAGATCGCCGCCGTCCGCCTCCTCACGCGCCGCCCGAAGGTCCCAGTCGCTGAAGCTTGCCGTCGCGCGTGAGAGCGCGTGTGACCTCCGATTTCCGATCGGTCAATGCCGTTGACTTCGCCGTGACGTCAGCTTTCCGGATTGGTCAAGTTTGTTCGATTCCGAGAAGATTTGATTTGCGGTCAACTGTCCGGGCCAGCCAGATCTACATAAATTTTAAGCAGTAAGTTTTCTTCATCAAACCTTTAGATCCGCTGCGCATAGGTTTATGTTGAATGTTTGTCCGTGATTTGTGCATATCGAGATCCTCGTGGGTTCCAACAATATATACTAACTAGTATTTAGCACGTACTAATTGTAGTAATAATTATACTAATTACTATATTAGTATAAAAAATTTCTACTAATTATATATTATTATAAATTATATTATCACTCGTGTTCGTACTTTGCTCAACTGAACATCGCGTTTTTTTTTTTACCTGCATTTCTTCTGTTTGTTATCGTCTTTCTTCCGACAAGGTAGTTTATTTAGCTTTGTTATTTGATCTCTGCATCTATTTGGTTTGGATCTGATTGGTAAACCCCTGATCCGAACGCCATTCCGTGATCAGATGAAGCATTTCTGTGTCTTTTTTTTTTTTTAATCGTCTTCTTTTTTCGTGATTAACAAATTCAGCGTAATAATATGCTGCGTGTTTTATTCTGATTCGATGCTTGATATATGTTGCTGGCGTGGTGACGTGGCGGTTGTGGCGACCCTTTTTTTGTGAATCGGTTGGCGGGTAGTGGATAACATTTAGAGGATGAGCATTAGATGTGTAGATGCACGCTTCCCTAGATCTGGGCTTGGATGTTTTTCTACGATTAGATCTGAGATGAGGGTGATGTCGAGTGTCGTGAATTCAGTCAGATCGATTCGCATTGTGTCGAGCTTTCTTGTCGCGAGCGTGTACTGTATTTTCTGTTCCTGGATCTGGGTTTGCTTGTCTTTGAAGTGTTTGGATCTGAGTGACTTTTTATTAGCTAGCTTATCACTAGCCATGCATTTTTTCCAACCTGTGATTCGATTTGATTCTTGAAGTTCAGCTTCATATATGTTAATCATTTGTCTGAAATGATCACCAACTGACAGTATAGTCGCATGTGATTAATGTTACAAATGAAATTCAAGATCTTTCTTTAGGTCAGCATAGTTTCTTGTTTGATGGGATTTCATGTATTAAACAATATTCTGAGTTAACGTGCAGATGGGCCGGTAAAACTCATACGGGTTGATTTGATACAGAGTATATACATGATCCAGTTTGTTTGTGCTTTCCGTGTTTCTTGGACATTGTTTTGATTATATTTTGTAGTTTGTATTGTGTTGTTTTATGTGAATCGACTCATGCGATTGAATTTGGTATATCCAGAAAAATGGCGTCACACATTGTTGGATATCCTCGTATGGGCCCCAAGAGAGAGCTCAAATTCGCTCTGGAGTCCTTCTGGGATGGAAAGAGCAGTGCCGAGGATTTGGAAAAAGTGGCTGCTGACCTTAGGGCATCAATCTGGAAGCAGATGTCTGAAGCTGGGATCAAATACATCCCGAGCAACACGTTTTCATACTATGATCAGGTGCTCGACACAACTGCCATGCTTGGTGCTGTACCGCCAAGATACAACTGGCCTGGTAATGAGATTGGTTTCTCCACTTATTTCTCTATGGCAAGAGGAAATGCCTCTGTTCCTGCTATGGAGATGACCAAGTGGTTCGACACCAACTAGTAAGTGTTGATCGAGTTTGATCGAGTTCTCAAGTTCATTGGCCGTTAAATCTTCAGAATAGATACTTAATTCATTATGTTTGTTTATGGGTGCAGCCACTTCATTGTCCCTGAGTTGGGCCCTGATGTCAAGTTTTCTTATGCTTCACACAAGGCAGTTAATGAATACAATGAGGCTAAAGCGGTATGATTTTGCAATTCTCTTGCTATTGTTTCTAAATAAGCAGTTAATAAATTAGTTGGGAGCAAATTGAATATGCATTTTTTCATAGACTCGTGTTTGTATTGTAGTCTCCTTATGAATCTCTTCTTTTCTCCCACACAGCTCGGTATTGATACTGTTCCAGTTCTTATTGGCCCTGTCACATACTTGTTGCTCTCTAAACCTGCCAAGGGTGTCGAGAAGACTTTCTCTCTTCTTTCACTTCTTGACAAAATTCTCCCTATCTATAAGTAAGAAAATAGAAGATCTATGTTTTCCTTGAATAGCTCGCAAAACACATATTTGTTTCATTTGGTGCTTACATATCATCCACATATTGGCAGGGAAGTTATTGCTGAGCTGAAGGCTGCAGGTGCTTCATGGATCCAATTTGATGAGCCCACACTTGTTTTGGACCTTGAATCGCACAAGTTGGAGGCATTCACCAAGGCCTATGCTGAGCTCGAATCATCATTGTCTGGCCTTAATGTTTTGATCGAAACTTATTTTGCCGATGTGCCCGCGGCTGCATACAAAACCCTTACCTCATTGAGTGCAGTTTCTGGTTTCGGATTTGATTTGGTTCGTGGGACTCAGACACTTGATCTGATCAAGGGTGGATTCCCTTCCGGAAAGTACCTCTTTGCTGGAGTTGTTGATGGGAGAAACATCTGGGCCAACGACCTTGCTGCATCTCTTGCCACTCTGCAGTCTCTTGAGGGCATTGTCGGAAAAGGTATATTGGTTAACACATATTTCCTGGGGCTATATGTGTTTGATCTTAGGATTGGCTCATTTTTATTCATCTTTTTTTTTTT